CCTCCTTTTCTGGTATTCAGAGGGCCGTTCAGGAAAAATTAACCATGGTTCTGTGGTTCCCACATGTGCCCCAATGTCATGCAAAAAACCATTTTGAAAAAGCTTGGCACACCCTGAACGACCTACCTTGTCAGAGGCGCTCATGAATTGGAGTAAAATTCGAGTGCATAGCGGACTTACGAACGAGGTAGACCTGCAAACTGCGAGCAGGCCTTTTTATAATATGACGACAAATAGAAGCAGAGGGGGGGGATTGCGTAGAGACCGTAGAGAGTCAGCATACATGGTAGCAATTATGCCAATTGTCCTTGATGACATGCTTATCCTCGAGTTCAAATATCTGTGACGTGCGCACAAAATTGCTGTCTGTTTTCTATATGAAAAAGTGAGAAGACATGAAACACTAGAGCGCGTTAGCGAAGTGGATATAAAGCAAATATTGCAGAACAAAATGCCCACCTATGGGACCGCCAATGTGCTTCTTACGAACAGGATGGATTAGTGACGGATCGGGAAGGTGGTCGGGTAATTCAGTCTCGGCAGAAACGGCTGGAAGTACATAGAGTTATACTTTTGCTGCCAGAAAATCGATATGTTAGAAATTCCGATTGCTTTGAGGTTTTTCCTTAATTATTCTATATTTAATAATTTGCTTTTCACTCTGATGTTTCTGTGCCATGAATTTGACCCTTAGAGAATTCAATCCGTGTGCCAGAGGCACTGCACGCGAGGTAGACGAGCAGCCAACTTGCTACATAACTCTATATGTTGTCGGAAACTGTACGGGCCGCGACAACGCGTTCGACCCGAGCTGGGTGAGGACACGAGTGAATATACAGGGGGGGGGGGCAAAAAAAAGAGTCACTTTGCCCATGGCGCATATCATCAAACTTTTCGTCGCCGCTGTTATTGGGAGTTATACGGCGAAATTATTCCTTAGATGTCCCCCCATAAGCAGAATCAGGCCCACCTTCGCTGCGTTCACCGTCTCCAGAATATGACGTCATCTGTCATCACCGTCGAGCTCAAGGAGGCCTACCATAATCGCTCCATTCTGAAGCTGCTACATAATTTCTTCAATCGGATAACTGGTGAATGACTTCTTAGAGACACTAGCTCTGACTATGCAAAATGGCTTTTGACCAGCGTTTCAGAGACGTCGTAATCGTCTATGGTTTCTCGACGACCCCGTTGAGCTCGTACCGCGAACCATGTTTCCGTGGGAAAATCTTCTGGTGTCGTCGGTGTTAGAAGGCCACTATGCATGTTTTTTTGATAGAATAGAATATGCTCTTCAATATGCAATTGAGCTCATTCGGTTTGGTTCTTGGCAAAGTGTAATTAATTCCCGTTCTCGAATTGTTCGAATGACCGCTGACTTCATTTTTGCCCCCCCCCCCCATGAAGAGTGTTTGCGTCCAAAAATCGCCATTTGCGGGTCTTCTCGAAAGACGTCAGTGGAAATGAGCGCAATTTATGTGAGCCAGGTACGGAAGCCGCACTCCACAGTCGCACTTAAGTGTTCAAAGCTGCAAAAGGTGACATTTGCACTTAGCAACCGTGACGGCAATCAACCGTGTTTTGGACCATTTTGGGCTGCGCTTGAAGAGGCCCGATCTGCTTGGCTGGCGGGCTTGCCAGGACACATGCGCCCGCGGCCCGACTTCAAGGGCGCGTTTTAAGCACATAGCAAAATGATAGAACTGACGCTGGTGGGAATCCACTTAATTATTCAGCATGAACATTATAAATAAAGTTGCGTTTATTTCGGTGACAAACACCATGCAAAATGCCATGCCAAACGCTTATCGAGAAGAAGAAATAAGTTGAACTTTGAAAACAATATCAAGAACTTTTTTCGGTGATGAGCTGGGGAAAGCTAAGAGTGACGCTTGAATAGTTCGGGGGAGCGACTGGAAATAAGGCACAGGGACGAACGTGAGGGCGCCTGAAGAAGAACTCGTAATCCAAAAATTAGCAAGGATAGTTGGGAAAAATTTAGCTTCGACGTTGGTTAAATCGCGGCACCGGTTAAACATGTGCTGTGACATAAATTATTTCCAAGGCAATCTTACAAAACGAAGTGTCCCCAAACAGGCCCACCGCGCGGCGAAGCAAGAGACGCAGACGCGGCAAAGGGACGAGTCGCAGCGCATACTGTAGCGGTTAGGCGTCAGGTTAAAGAGAGTGTACCATACTACGTCTCATATCGCACAGCACGCGCTGCAACTCGTCTCTTTGCCGCATCTGCGTCTCTTGCTTCGCCGCGCGGTGGGCCTGTTGGGGGACACCCCAAAACGCAGCAGGTGATTTTAAATGTGACTTGTTCTTCCTAAGAAGTGCTAGACTTGTGCTGCTGACGAGATTTGTCTTCTCCGCGAAAAACAATGCAGGGAATTTTGCGGCATGCGAATTTTTACACATTTTGAAAAACAATATCTCCCTCCAAAAAGAATTTCATGCCAACGGAAAGGAGCGCTGTGAACAAAAAGAAAAAAGAGTTGTTCTTCTCAATGTTTGCCACATTAACTCATCGTAGGAACTTTTCAAAAACAGCCACTGGAGGGAAATTTTGCCCAAGTAACGCTGAGGCTACCATGTTGAGTTTTTTCACTAATTGCAACTACATTACTTCTTTTTTAGAAGAGACATTTTGTTTCGTTAAATTGAAAAAAACGAATAAATATTTAATATCTGCAATATTTTGTCTATCTGGGGATGCAAGCTTAATTTGCAGGTTCTGCTGATATGAGTTTGCTCGTAAATTTAAGAAGAAACAGTGCTTTCCACCTCCGAAGAGAATTTCTTTCGCGCCCACTTCGAAGGACTATCTATTCAGCGAGCTTGCAACAACTATTCTTTCATTCACTCTGTCTCCCACAAAAAGATCGATTTCATTTGAAAGAAAACCAAAGATTTCGCAGGCTGAAGACTGAGGCACACTTTTGCAAAATTTGGCTGTTATATAAAAGACGAATTCACGCTGGGAAGGCAACCCATTTCAAATTAACTCAGGGATGGTGATTGGTACACGAAAGAAGGAAGAACCATGAGAAACGGCCCAGAACCCGAGAAATGGGACCCCTTCCTTCCCCGCTGATTTGCGCATTGATGCGACTCTTATCGCTGTGCCCTCCTCAACATCACGCTCTCTCTGCTATCTAATCAATCCCACGTATAGATCTGCGGCGAGTGATCAGCTGGTCGGTGGGCGGAGATCGCCAGACCCGCCAACTTTGAGGCATAATAGGTCGCCGAGGTCAAATTTTTCGATGCGAATTGCGCATCAGTTCGCACCCTCAGGAGGTCCGTGGGTTACTCAACTAGGTGAATTACTTCTTCCTCGACCTCCATTCTAATCGCAAATCCATCTTTTAAGGGCAGAGTTTACGGATTAAAAAGCAACACATGTCAAGGTTGATAAAAAGCAAACAATGTCAAAGTAAGTCTAAGCGATGAGTGCAGTGGTACAGCGAAAAGGCAGGAAAAACCATGACAAAAACAACGACCTTCCAGAGACTACGGAAAATGGGAAGCCCCTCCTTGCCCGTTGATTTCCAAACTGAATGCGAAGTCATGTCTTTTGTGCCCTCTTCAACATTGACGCTTTCTCTGCTACCTAATCACTCGTCGCATTTACACCTTTGGCTAGTGGTTGGATAGTTGGTGGGCGTACCGCGCCAACTGAGTCAAGAGGAAGCCACGCTGGATCGAGGAGGTCGAATTCTTCGCTGGCCAATTGGCGTAATTCAGTCCGCCCACAGGATCCGCCCGTCTCCCCAGAGGCAATTTTCTCCGCTCTTGCACCGCCGTTCTTTCATGGGAGTCCTTCTTCAAACTTTTCTATGGACCATGCTGCTTGAAAATAAATAAGATAGTGATAAAAGCCAATGGTCATCAATTGGAAGACAAAAAAACCCAGGAAAAAAAAACCTCAGGTCAAGAAAAAATTGCATAAGATAGATGCACAGCACATATGACCCGCGCTGTCCGACGTGGCCTGCAAAGTGCGGGATGTATATGTCTGCCTGGTCCGCCGAAATCGTCTAACAGGTTTTCTTTTTGCCCTATCAATCGTTTGGGAGCTCCTCGCTGTATTCTTCAAAGCGATAACCAGCGCAGAGCAACTAAATGCATGACAAGTTTGCGTAAGGCTGTGCTGCGGACAACCAACGGACCAAACATTGTCAGCGAATGATGTTAAACCATACAGTTTGGCTTCATGGTTCTTCCCCACCCATTACATTTGCACGATGTCCTAGGGAAAGAACACTCTTGTTACTCTTGGTTGGTCTCAGTTTTTGGGAATCAAAAGCCACCGCGATAACGAACACCTTGATGCAACTGATTTCCGATCTTTCTCGCGTCAACAGCGGATTAAATCCTGTCACTGTACAATTTTGACAAATAGTGATGTGATGTCCATTCGAATTCGAGAAGATGAAGGACAGTTATGGGAAGCTGTAGTAAGTATTCAACTGGTGTTATCCGAAAAGAAAATGTGTTTCGAATACCGATATCGAAAGCGGACGTTCACTTCGAACTCAATCTGGCATGTATGAGGGTCGGGATGGTGTTAAAGTAATCAAGATGTATATGTGGCTTAAAGGAAGCGATTACGATAAGGAATTTTCGCATCGGGGGAGAACCTGCGCCACACGGAGCAATTACTTGGCTGCCAAGGAAGCGATGTGTGGCCCTCCCACGGCGAAAGGTGCTGTGGTTGCTGAGCAGGACCCGCGTGACGCCCCGCCCCCAGTGACGTGACGCCCACTAGTTTTGTTGATGATCTGGATGGACTGTTTGCTGTTGGCTTTTCATTTTGGATGATCATTTCCCTTCTAGCGGCTGTATCTTCCAACTTGCCCACGTATTGCCTTATCAATCAAAACACTATGCTTGTTGGCATGATGGCGGCTATCGGGGTTAACACGTCCGAACAACGTCGTTCTTTACCGTCGCTCATCCATGGTCGAAAATGAAAGGGCAATCAAAGGGGTACTATTTTGCTTATTTTTGACGGATTTCTTTGCTTTTTTCGCCATTGGCGTACTATTGAGACCCCCACGTCCCCTCTAAACCCCTTTGAGATCTATCGTAATCGCTTCCTTTAAAATGCTTCCCACGAGCTGCTTCTCAGCGACTTTGCTATGGATTTGCTACCACATGCATGAACGTGTGCATTTTTGTCTGACTTCCATCCCTATTTAGTGAAGAAACAGTTCTTTCCAGGCGATTTTTTCCTAGATGTGTCATTATAATATTTTATATTAGCACTACTGACTCTCCTTAGGTAGCAAACGAAAATCTAAAAAGATCTTCATTTTTTTCTCTGTCCAACAACTCGCTATATGGGAGCAAGTGGCCAGTAAATCTTGGCATCCACATTACTGTCAATATACCAGACCTATCCAAATAGCAAAACCTTTAATGCTTCCGGATAATTGTGGTTTCAACTCCGGCCTTACTTGTTGCAATCTCCGTGTTGGTAATGGTTGATGATTGCGGGACTGGTGTAGTAGCAACAGTGAAGGTTATAACCTGCAATGATAGCAAATGAGCTGAGGTATGAACCTTGCAGACTTTATTATCCCACCTTTTTTTCAAATTTGGCATTAACCAATCTAAAGACTTGACACAACTTCACCTTTTTGACTGGCTTTGTATGAGAGTGTTTCCTATCCACGTGCCCTTTCGAGACCGAACCAGAAATGTTCGACTTCCTCCCTTTACCTCTGACCACGGCAAAATCCACTGAAATAGGGAATAAAACTGAATGCATCGACATGAAGAATCTTGAATTTGAAAATACGGTTCCACGAGATGAATGCGTGGTGAACCTCAAAGAGTTTGTTGATGCTAAAAACTTTACGTCTCACTGTCAATAGAACACAGACTTTTATTCGTATCTACTCTTTATTTCGGAAAACAAGAAGAGCCTCGAGTGCAGACCACACACCACAAGTATCGACGCTCAAGAAAGAAACAGGAAAGAAGAAAGCCATGTTTTTCTTGGCGTCGTCGTTTGTGGTGTGCGGTCTGCACGCGGTGCTCTTCTCGTTTCCAAAATAGAAGTATAAATGTTTCGCACATCATGTTCTGAGACTGCTCTGCTGAATTCTGGCATTGCCATCCAACCCACTTCACAAAAATGCACTCCTTTCTGGCAGCCAGTGTTCAATTTAGTCTTATTGACCAGTCGCCAGAAGGCAAAGCAACATTCTTCCAAAGAGAAAACTTGGGTACTGCAAGCGAGCA